TCAGGTGGGGCCCCTTACCCCACCATGTGGCCCCAGAGCCACCTGCCTTTTTGCTTCTAACAGCAACTCTTTTAGAACCTGTTCAAAGTGTTTAAAACCACGAAGGTGATAAGGAGTCAGAACCTGGCAGAGGCCCCCTTTCTAAGTGACGAGAAGCAATGAAAGGGGTGGAAATGCAGGTGGCTCTCCTGGCCACAAGACCCCTGCTGCAGGCGGCTTCCTGAAGAGCGCAGCCTCGGGTGTGAGCACGTGGTCCTCTGGGAGAGCTGTCAGCCTCTCCTGGCTGGAGGCTCCCGCTTGACACCACAGCTGTGCTGTCCCTACAGCCAGCACCCCTGGGCACCTCACAGTCCACGGGCAGGGCCAGGCTGATCAGAGCCTCCACCCCGGTGCTCCTCCTGCACGCCCCACCCAGTGCTGCCCCAGCAGGCCTCAGACACATTAACTGAGAAGACACTCATGTCCACTCTTTCAGAGAGAAGACAGCGTGTTGATGAAGGCAGCTCTAAGTGGCTTCCGGTCCTGCTGTGATCCCATCCACAGCCCAGAAGTGCAGCATGTGGACGAGCTGACTCTCTGGTCGGAGGCAGTCCTGTTGCCATCCCATCCATGGCAGTCCAAGGTCGCCATCTCTAGTGCTGAGAGAAGAGCTGTGTGTGAGGGTACGTCATGTGCTCACTCCACCAGAAATGGCGCTGGGATGTGAGCCCTTTGAGCACCTAGAGGTTGATGCCCAGGAGTGAGGTACGCAGTCAGGTGTGCAGGCAACATGCAGCGTTGCATTAAAATTCTTTTAAAAGCCACTAGCTGGAGGGAGGAATGGCCGTGTGGTCTGAAAGCGTTAGGTTGGTTCTGTGTTGATGTCAGAAGATGTCTTCCGCTCTGGTGCCGATGGCAGAGTGCTGGAGGACCGGCCTGGTTCCCTAAGTGGAAACCAGGCAGAGCTTATCGGAGCAGACAGAGCTGCTTTTTTTTGGTGGGTGCAGAATTTCTGCTGAAAAAAACAATATTAACTACACTCGTCCAAAAGGACTCATCCTTTCTGTTGTCATTCAAGTCATAGCTCCTGACTCACTTGGCCCAGGTGCTGGCCCAGTTGGGTGCCTCCCTAGGTGAGCCTGATGTCAGGGATTGTCTCCAGTCCGGGATCTCATTCATCCCTCCATGCATGGTTTGGTCTCATTTTAAAGACTGCACCCTCTTGGCACATTTATTGTACTCAGAACTGAATGGCAAACAATAGCCTGTATTAATAAAAGCTGCCACAGAGCCATGGATGAGCGTGGGGTTAGGTCTGGAGGATTCCACAATGCAGGCTTCTACAAACAGGTCACTCCACTTGGCTCCCCAGCCTGGCCTCCTCTGCAGGAGGAGCTCCTGGGGCTGGTCCCAGTGTGTACCTGCAAGAGAACACCAGCCGACTAGGATCTGCAGATGTACTCTCAGACTTGCCCAAATTCAAATCCCTCTGGATTGATGAGATCATCATGATTTGCATGTTGGGTATAGGTCTGAAGGCTTTGTAAACCCTCCCACCAACCCGGATGCTCTAAATCACAGTTCTGTATTTTTTTTTTAAAGGCTAACTATAGAGGAAGGAAATGCATGTAAATATGTACAAATGCTTATGAAGTTGTTATTGTTTATATGTAAAAGTATGTACATAGGAAAGGAAAATGGCTGCTGAATGTCTTAAATAACACCCATGTACCAAACTGCAGCGGCACCCTGCCACACCCTAAAAGCACACACTAGGACTGTCAATCCTCTCTTTAGATACCATTATTCTTCCCATTCATATGTCATAGGCACTTTCTCTTCATCTGATTACAAAATCAGAACTGGGCTTTTGCCAAAAAAAAAAAAAAAAAAGGAAAATATTAGCATTTGTCACTGATTCTGCTGGGCCGATGAGCGTCTGTTCAAGTGTTTTAAAGTAAGGTGCACATTTTCTAAATCCCACATTGTACCTTCTATTCCAAACAGTGGGCTGGACTGAACTTCCTTGAGCATTTGGGCTCTTCCTGGTAGCTCCTCAAACAGGAGAGATCTGCATTAGTGCCTGAGGAGGCAGGAGGAGAGATCATGAAATGCTGGCAGGATTGCTGACCATGTCACCGAGACAGGGACATCCTCATCATAGTCCAATAGCAGTTATCAACCCAGCGCGCTGTGTGCACAGCAGAGTGATGCAAGTGTCTGGTTTACCTAAAATGGAAATTCATGTAGGCTGCAGATTCCCTGGTGGAGGCCCCTGTGGTGTTGGCCTTGCGCCCACGGTCTAGGCTCCAGTGGCTGAAGGCCTTGGGCTGTGTCTCAAGGCCTTTGCCCTTGCAGAATCTGTAGCCTTCAGGAAACCTGAGTGCCTTATGCAGCTTGTAAACACGGACTGGGAGTTGGGGTGGGGATGCGAGGGTGGCTTTGAGGCTTGGAGAGCTGATTAGCACTTACCATCACTCCATCACTGAAACCTCGAGATAGGTTGTGTGTTTTAACACAGTAATGAATTTAAGTTCAGGCTCAGGAAAATCATATTGTGAATATATGTATCAAAGCATATATTTGTTTACTGTATATTTTTTAAAAAGCTTTATTGTAAATTTATGCAAAAATGAACAAGACTTGTTTTCTCATGGCAAAAAACCAGTTAGTATTTGTGCTCTCTGAAGCAATTACTTAATAACCACATTCTAAACATGTGATTTCTGTTCAGTGCTAAACAATATTCACAGGCCTAAACTAGGTTTGTATGGTGATCAACTACAAAATTTTACACATATTTTTGTATTGTGATTCCTATGATATATACCAGAGAATTTTTACTCATTTGTAAATTATTGTACAGTTTTAATAAAATTTGTTTTAAATCTTAGAATATCAAAGTCCCCCTATGGATTATTAAAATTTGAGTTTGTGGGCTATATTAGCCATTTCTGCATTTCTGTGTCCAACCTCTGGGGGGGAAAAAAGCCTCTTTCCCCACCAGAAAGGGATCTGGGCCTTCAGCGCTCTGAGGAGGGGACACGCGGGCCTTACCTGCAATTTCATCCTCAGAATCTAAAGGCACCTGAGGGGAGCACCTCTGTAACCAGAGGTACCTGGTGGCACCTGGCAGAGGTCAGCACACCTCTGTCAAATGCGAACCAGAAAAAAGAATTCAAGTAACTTTAGACCAGGGAAAGGATGCCTGCTAACGAGTAAGAGCAGGTGGGATGCTCATTGGGGGACGCACACCTGTGAGTGAAGGAGGTTTTATCGATTGGTTTGGGGGGTGGAATTCCAGAGTAGGACAAGGGTCTGAGGGAAGGTGTTGGGCTCGGCTTCCTGACGTGCTTGTGTCAGCGAGCATAACCAGCGCTGCAGTAACTCTGTGCGAATTCGCTCTGAAGTGCGCGCTGTACCGACAGCTGAAAGGCTGGGGTCCTTTCATTCCAAATCAGTCGCAGCCAGCTCCATAGAATAAGGCCTCGCCCTGTGATCTCTGGGCGGGCGGAGGGCCCCTCTGCTTGTCTCAAACAAATCCTCTACTTGGTTAAGGGAGGTCTGGAGCTGTTTCTGCGCGCGGATCCCCAGAGGGTCCACTTGTGGATGATTGGAAGTCAAGACCTCCTTGGCCAGTGTGAGCTCTCACAAGGGGTCTGGAGAGTGGCGGGTGTTCCTGTAGACAGCGGCTTCTCCTATGTGCGCTCCCCACCACTGCGCATCCAGCCTCCAGCGTGTGAAGTGGAAGTCCGAGCCCACCTATGCCCTGAGGGCGAGGGCAAGCCACTTCCCGGACCAGGGGCTAGTGTTCAGCACCCGCTGTGTGGACAGCGTCAGCTCCACAGGGCCCGGCTGCGGGGCTGGGGTACGTGGTGGGCGGGGAGAAGAGGAAGCCACCAGCCAGGCCAGGTGCATCGCAGACCTCCCGCAGGGGGCTAGGATACCTGGCCGGCTGGCGCCCACTCCTGCCATGACCGCACCGCGTCCGCACCGGCCTGCTAAGCTTCCAGCCAGGCCGAAGTTCAGCGGCGTCTTCCGTTGTGTGGAGGATGCCTTTGAGAACAAGGCGCTGCCCCTGGACCCTCACCAGAGTTCTCGGGCCCAGGATCCTCACCGTGAGACACGTGGCCACTCGGAGAGACCCGGCGAGCCAGATGTAGAGGACCCGGTAGCCGCCGCCAGTCACCGAGGGCAGCCCGTCGTGGCCCCGGCCGGCAGCCCTTCGCAGGTAGAGGCTGCAGGACCCAGGTCCCAAGCTGAGGGGTCCGTGCGGGTGGGATGCGGGCCACGACTCCGTGAGACGCCTCACAGTCACGCTGACAGCGTGGGCCTGGAGCTCATCTTCCCCCTCCCCCTTGGGGCCTGGACTTCATCCTGCGACCCCCCCCCACCCGGCCTCGCCTCCTGGTCCCCAGTCCTTCTCGGCCTCTCTGTGCCGCACTCTTTATCTGTCCGCGTCTCTCCCGACCCGCTTCGCGCTGCCGCTCGGGGAACAGCCCGAGGGTGGCGTCTCCACAGCCTGGTCCTGAGGTCCGGACACTGCCTTGTGCTGGTGCTCCAGCCCAGGTCCTCCCAGAGGAGGCTGGCTTTGGTCAGAGACCTCTTCCAGGACTCCGGGAGCCCGAGGGGAGATTTGGTTTAAACTTGGAGCCAGGGTGCAGTCACCAAGGGGCAGGCCAGGAGCGGGGTCTGGCAGGACTTTGCCCGACCTCCCCCACTCCGTTCCCGGGGTGCAAACTGTACACGACGTCAGGGTCAGGTCGCAGCCCTCCTCAGCACGCACGGGTTCGGGTTCGAGGTGCAAAGATCTGAGCCAGTCGCGGCAGGGTACGCTGGGACAGGAGGTTGGGGGAGCTGACACGGGGCGGGGCCTTAGTACAAATGAGCTGCGTCGGGGCGGAGCCTAAATGCAAAAATCACCGATGCGGGGGCGGAGACGGGGGCGGGGACCCGAGCCCTGCGCCCCGCGCGCTCGCACTCAGCGGCTCCGCGCCCCACGCTCACGCTGTTCACCGCGCGTGTCCCCGCTCGCTCGCCCACGCTCGCGCTGCCCCTGCCAGGGATCGGGCCAGCCTGCAGAACAGGATGTCCTTCCAGGGCAAGAAGAGCATCCCCCGGATCACGGTGAGCCCGGCTCCGGCCCCCGCCTCGCTAGGAGCCCCCAGAATGGGCCTGTTTGCGGGGCGGACCCTCTCGGTCCTGCCTGTGGGTCCGCCCCCGCGCGAGCTCAGTCCGGGCGCTGGCGCTAGACCCATCTGGAGACTGGAGTGCCCGCCAGGCCGCGCCGGACTCAGATGCTGAGTGGGCGCGCAGGCCCGGTCCGCCTGCTTTCCGGAGCCTCCTGTGAGCTCGGGCAGAGCCCGGGTCCGCGAGCGCCTGCCTCCGGAAGCTGAAGGAGGCTGTCTTACCCGGGGCCGGGCTGGCGAGGTGGGCGGACTGGGCAGCAAGAGCTGGGCTCTCTGGGCGGCTGGCGGAAGAGGCCTTTGTTGACCGCTGGGCCTCGCGGACGCGCGGATGCCGTTCCTGGCTTAGCCCGCGGGCCGCCGGCCCCCTGGACTCGCCTCCATGTCGTCCAGAGCTCTTTGTCGAAAAACAAAGCGATTTAGCCTTGGCTGCTTGGCCTAGAGCCCCTGGAGGCCCCTGAACCCCTCCAGGAAGCCCGGGTTTGGAGATTCCAAGAGAGGCGAGCACTCGCTGTCCACTGACCGCACCCTGCAGCCCCAGCCTTTGGCAAGACAGACCCCCTTCCCCACACCCGCAGGTGCGCCATGTGGACGAGGTCCAAGTGTCCACCCTGCCTTGCCAGGAAACAAAGCCTCCCTGTGGAGGAGGCCAGAGCCTCAGGAAGGAGAACAGGGAGAGAGGCTCCTGGGATCCTTTGGGCCCCAAAAGGCTTCAGACCCAACTCTGGGCTCCTCCTCAGCAGGAGGGTGGTGGAGTCTGGCATGTAGGCCACTAGCTTTTAGAGGTGTCATTCCTTCCTGAGAAACTCAAAGGGGAAGGAGCCTCTCCACGCCCCTCCAACTGAACAGGAGGGGCTCCTGCCTCGGACTGCCCACAGCCCTACATGGTCCAGGCCTGAGGAAGAAGTCCCATCAGCCAGGGGGCACCAAGGTGAACCCTCCAGGTGGTGAGGCAGCATGCCTAGGAGGAGGCTGGCCTGTTCACATCAGTTTCCCCCATCCTGATAGAGCATCCTGAGTGTTCACCACAGCTTAGCTCATTCCTGTTGGCTCCAAGCCCAAGGAGGACCCCAGAATCCAAGTTCTGGTGCCTGAAAAGTGGAGATGTGAACAGAAACCCCAGATCATAGGTCTCTCCTGGCCCCAACCCTCCCCTTTTCTGCCTGGATCTTCTTAGGGTTTGCAGAGAATGAGTTGGTCCATGAGGAGGTGGGTGGGGTCATGACAAGGGCCCAACAGCGGGTGGCGCTGATGGGTTCCCACTGAGGCTAGTGCTCAGTGCTGATGGGCCCTGAGTGCCTGCAGGGTGAGGTGGGGAGGGGATTAGGCAGCTGCTTCTACCGTCGGCCAGGTGGTGTCTTCAGCTCTGTGGACCACATTGTTTCCGTCACACCTGGGAAGCCCTGGAAGAGACAATTCCTGGGCAGTATTCTAACGAAACTAAATATTTTACAAGTCAACAAAATATTCTTTTGATTTTGTTCAACCAGTATGCAACTTGAAAGCCACTGGTGCCTCCAGGAGGTATGGGACAGGCAGCAGCTGGATTGGGCCTGTGGCATAGTTTGCCTGCCCTTTGTGGACTTTGTGGTAGTGTTTTACCTTTCATCAGCAGATCCTGCCAGGTACTGCAGGTCCTGCCCAGCCAGGTGTCAGTAAGAACAGTGCTCCTCGCCCTTGGCCTCCCAGAGCTGTTCTTCCTGCTCTCAGGTGGCTCTCGGGCCTCAGACCGATGGTGGACCATGGCCAGCTTTAAGTGCAGGTGGTTCTCCCCGTCACACAAGGGGGATGCTGAGGCCCCAGCAAGGTCCAGAAGGAAAGCACTGCGGTCTCACCACTCTTGCCCTTCTGTGCCTTGTCCTCTGTTCCTCCTCTGTAATTCTGTCCTCTCTGCCATGGCGGTGAGGTGCTCCCCTCTGATGACCATGCAAAATCCCCCGAGTGACACCCACTTTCTGCCCAGCTCCTCCTTCCTGACCACATGGTAGGATTCTTAGAAGTGGTTCTGTGGCTGCCAAACCTTGGACTCAGGCCTCATTGGCTGGCTCTTGGTTCACCCACTTGGAGTGCCTCCAGGTAGCCAGACCATGGTCATCTGCTGTCTTCCTTCCCTTCACTCCCATGGCCTTTCCACCAGCAAGTCCTGCCCTCTGACTGCCAGGCCCCCTTGCGTCCATTGTTCCTCCCTGCACCCACAACCCCCATCTACCTGGGCAACCTCAGAAACACCCAGGCAGAACCTGTCCAACACCGCAGTCCACTTCCCACCACAGCCAAGGCCGTCCCTTTGCAGCATCCACCAGATGTGGTCAGAGCTGCTCATGCCCCCAGTGCCAGCCCCGGGACTCTCCAGCTCTGCCCCTGCCCTGCCTGCACTGGGTCTGCCCCGGCTTCTCGCCCCTCCCCTCACAAGGCTCCCGTCCTCTGCTCTTCTTGGGTCTGACACGAACCAAGCTCTTTCCTGCTCAGAGTGCTTCCTGGCCTGGAACCCACCCCAGGCATTGCCTCCAGGAAGGCCTCAGGAGGCCTCTCGCCAGGCCAGGCAGCCTGCCTCTGCTCTCCCGCCCTGTCATGTCACCTCTTTGTGCTCTTTGCATCTGTCACAGGGTGATGGTCTCGTACACGTGTACTGTGGCTTCCTCTGTTCCCCCCCCCCCCGCAGCATTCCAGGGTGGGACCCCGGCCACTGTCCCGCTCTGCCCCCCACCTCCCGGCCCCACGGCAGGCCTGCAGCGTTCTGGTGGAGCCGAGCCCAGCTTCCTCAGCACGGGTGGAAGAGGACAGCTGGGAGCAGGCCTCCAGGGGTTCCCGCCAGAGGACCAGTCTGAAGATGGACATGACCCGGAGCCCTGCTGTGTTCACCAGCACGGGCTGTGTCCTGAAGGTCCCTGTGTGTCTCTGTGCTTCAGCAGACCAGCCTGCTGGACCCTGCCTGGCTGTGTGGGTGGCCTCTGAGCCCTCCATCTTGGGGTACAGTGCACAGGTGCAGGGGTTGAGCTTGTTTTTATGTTTACACATTGTGCCCGAGGCTTCCTTCATAACTCCAGGGGACGCGGTCTCAGTAAGAATGTTGAATAACTCAGTCTGGAGAAAAAGTGTCCATGTTTTGTCTCCACTAGAGTGACCGCCTCCTGATCAAAGGGGGGAAGATTGTGAATGACGACCAGTCCTTTTATGCTGATTTGTATGTGGAAGACGGTTTGATTAAGTAAGTTTCTGCTCAGAATACCTTCATTGGTCACGTGTGCATGGCTGGCACGGTACCCAGGCAGTTCCCTTTGGGTGAGGTCCATGTAATCGCTTTCGTCTTTCCCCAAACCCCTTTCCCTGGAACCTGGCCTTGGGGGTGATAGCCTCGCCACTCAGTCACTGGGCCTTGGGAGACAAGAACAGCTTCTTTGTGTTATCTCAGCACTTAGTAGGGTGTCAAGCTCACAGTAGGTGCTTAATAGATACTTTCCAAGCAGCCTACCCATTCCTCTGCTATAGTTGTCAGGTGGCTCAGCCCTGGTCAGTAAGGCAGCAGTAGAAACCCAGAGGGGAACAGCATCTGGGCAGGGCCCTGCACTTCCCATCTCTGGCCACTGGGTGGGAAATTTTGCTCCTTCTGGAATTTAAGAAGCTGGGGGTGGGTGGCTGGAGTCCTGCCCTCGTCCTCAAGGACTGGAGCCCAAGCACTCACTTCCCAGGCCGCTGCACTGTCACAGGCCCCTTCAGATTCTGACCAGGGTCTCCATGAACAAAATGGTCTCTCCTTGTCCCTCTCAGACAAATTGGAGAAAACCTCATTGTCCCTGGGGGCATCAAAACCATTGATGCCCATGGCCTCATGGTCCTGCCTGGTGGAGTCGATGTCCACACGAGACTGCAGATGCCTGTCCTGGGCATGACCCCGGCTGATGACTTCTGTCAAGGCACCAAGGCAGCCCTGGCAGGAGGGACCACCATGATACGTGAGTGTCTGGGCCCCTTGGGGCCGCATGCGGCCACGTGCTGTGGCAGGTGTCTTACATGCTGTGGTTTTCCCAGTTCTGTCTTCTCCCTTGGGTACAGTCTGGGGACCCTTGAGTGCTTCCTGCCATTCTTGTTTCCCATTCTGGGTAATTTGACCTTGGCCAGCTCAGGAGGGTGCTTGGCACATGGGTATGTGCCCAGTTGCTGCTTCTGGGGTGTTTGTGGCAAGCCAGTGACTGGGGCTAGGAAAACCTGTGAGTCTTGGACCAGGGGAGGGGTTGTGTCATGTGGCCCTGGTCCTTGTGCCCTCCCACTGAGACCCTAGAGCTCAGGGAGGAGCCCTGTTCAAAAGCGTGTGTGATGAATTCACTGGGCCTTGCACGGGGTGAGGTCAGGAGCCTGGAACAGCCCTCCGCCAGCCTGTTCTCATGCTGTGTGACCCGGAAGCCATGGGCCCTGCGGTGCCAGGCACAGCCATCTGTTCTGTGGTCTGGGGAGCCCCATGGAACCTGGCCCCGCGTCCCTCCTGAGCTGTGCAGCAGGGGAGGAACACCCTCGGGGGAGTGAGGGTTGAAGGAGTCGACACACAGGTCCTGGTGTGCGTGGCACAGTGCATGCTGCTGCTGCCACTGCCAGGGAGGGCACCCTATGGACCCTGGCACTTGGTGGGTGACATGCAGCCATTGCCACCATAGCAGCTTGGTCTGGTTCGCTCGTCAGAAAGGGAAGGAGCAACAGCCGGTCAGTGATCTGATAGAGACTGGCAGAAAGCTGGGGCAGGTGTGGGGCTGGAGTGAGCGCTGAGGTGGGGAGCAGGCAGCCACCTCCAGGGGTCCCGGCTGTGATCTGAGTGCTGGGACGTGTGCAGCCCCCTGTGAAAGGCGTGCAGGATGGAGGCAGAGCTCTCGCCTGCCCAGGGTGTGTCTTCCTGTCTGGCGGCCTCAGTCCCTCCACCTGACATCCTGGGAGCGGCCGCCTGGTGGGCAGTGCTTGTGGTGGGAGGCAGCACAGCCGTGTGTGCAGGCTGGGAAGGCATCACCGGAGTGCATGGGCCCAGGGAGGTCTGCAGGGCTCCAGGGGGCAGGCCGCAGCACGCGGAGCCAGTACCACGGACAGTGCCCTGCTGCCGGCCCAGGGAAGCTCACCTGTGTGGAGGCTGGCCAGAGCCCCTGGTTCTTGGGGTGCAGCAGGTTCCTGGGCAGTGGGTGGTTTGGACTCTCTCACTGCCTTGCTCAGAGAGGAGCTGTGGATGTGGAACTAAGGGTGCAGGTTGGGGGCAGAGGGGGCCCCTCCCTCTGCCGCATCTTCCTCAACCCTCTTCTGGTCTCTTGGGAACATGTGACCAAATGTCCCCTGGAGGTGGTGGTAGGATGCAGCGACCGGTGGGGGAGCCGGGCCAACTCTGCTGTCCCTGCAGTGGACCACGTGTTCCCGGACACGGGGGTGAGCCTGCTGGCAGCCTACGAGCAGTGGCGGGAGTGGGCGGACAGCGCAGCCTGCTGTGACTACTCTCTGCATGTGGACGTGCCCCGCTGGCACGAGAGCACCAAGGAGGAGTTGGAGGCCCTGGTTAGGGACAAGGGTGAGCAGCGCTCCCATGGCCTGGGACCACGGGGTCAGGTGGGGGAGCGGGGCTTTCCTGTGGTGGGCTGGTTGCATGCTCGGTGGGAGGTGGCCTCTCCTGATCCCTGTGTCCTGATGGCCTCTGCTGCCCTGCCCCAAGACCGGGTGTCCAGGAATGGAGCAGAAGTCAGAGAAGTCACTCAAAGGCAGCTCTGCTAAACTCTAGACCAGGAACCCTCCCCAGCCAAGGGGCCTCCTGTCGCCCTGTTCCCCACAGAAGGGTGCAGTGGTCAAGCCATGCTCAGTCCCCTGGTTCCTAGAAAAGAAACCACCTGGTGAAGGGACAGCAGACACACACTTCCCCAGGACCTTTGGAGAGGAGACTTTTAAAACCTGTATCTCTTAATTTTTCTCTGTGCTGAAACACAGCTGTCCATGAGCTAGAGTTGGGTTTGTTCCATAGAAAGTCCTCAGGCTAAAACCACATCAGAGTGCCATCGTGAACTTGACATGAATGAAATGTTGTAATGTATCTCTAATGGTCAAGCTTTGAGCATGGCCCATAGCTCAGGGCCTGGGATGGGCCAGGACATAGGATGTGCCAGCTGCAGGTCCCTGGCCAAGCTCAGGAGGCCACAGGTTCTGACATTCCCAGGAGATACTGCTGCCTGTCCTCTGTCCCTGAAGGAGCAGGGGGTGTAAAAGGCATCTCCTGTGGGTGTCCAGTTTCCAAAGACTGAGGGTCTTCACACTGTGCCCTCTGGAGCTCCCTGCCCAGGCTGGCCAATTGTCCACTGTGGGTCTGGAGGCCTTGCTGCAGGCAGCAGCTCTGTGTCCATGCTGGCCTTCCGCTGGGCTTGGGAGGCCTGCAGTGCATGCCTGAGCACAGGTGGAGACCAGGCACTAGCAGAGCCCCTCACCCTGCCAGAGCGGCACCAGGCGCAGGCCATTATCTGCCGTTCCTGGACAGTGTTCCAGGGATGGGCTCATCCTGACCGGCAGCCTAGGTTAGATACTCTGGGACAGACCCCAAGCCCCAGGTCACATGCTCGTGGTCACTGGGAGGGTGGCTCGATGCACTGGATGACTTGGTTTCCCTGCGGCACACCATGCCGTCATATCAGCACTTCCGTCCCCTTGAGGAAGGGTCGGCTCTGTGGGTTTGGATGCTGGGCAGGTCAGGGCTACCTCTGGCCTCAGAGGGACCCTGAGAGCCTTGGTCCTGGGAGAGGGCTGGACTCTTGCTGCCCAGGAAGCCAGAGAGCTCAGCCCTCCCCACGGGGCCCTGAGGCTTCCCGCAGAACAGGCGGCACTCAGGCAGCAGTGCCTCCCGGGGCTCTGGTCCTTCTGGCGATGAGGTCTGTAGGCGGGAGTGGGGTTCTCACCTACCTCTGAGCCTGGGTGAGCAATGGTTCCCAAACCCCCGTCCCAGCTTGTTGGTGGGGAAATGCCCTCAGGGTGGCTGTGCCAGCTGCAGTGCTCATGTGAGAAGCCCCCCGCCCCAGTCCCCTCTGGGGGAGCAGAGGCCTCCTAGGCTGTCTGACCCCCTCCTGCCTCTCCTCCAGGTGTGAACTCCTTCCTGGTCTTCATGACATATAAGGACAGGTGCCAGTGTACTGACGGCCAGGTAAGGGCAGGTGTGGGAGAAGGAAACAGGCAGGGGTGTCCTAGGTCACTGCCCGGCAGACACTGGACCCCATCCACTTCTCTTCCCAGATGTATGAGATCTTCAGCATCATCCGGGACCTGGGAGCGGTGGCCCAGGTGCATGCAGAGAACGGGGACATCGTGGAGGAGGTGCTGCAGGGGCCGGGCCAGGAGGAGGGCATGCAGATAGGAGCACGTGGTCCCTGGGGCGTGGCAGCCCCGTCCGTCCTTCACACATACCCCAGACTGCCTGAGGCTGTGGGGCTGGACACCAGCTATTGGGTCAGCACTGATTCTGGCTGAGCCATCAGACGTGCCAGTGCAGTGGGGGCCTGGGAGGTTCAGAGAGCTCGGGTCAGCTGTCCCCTCGGCCTCAGTAGGGGTCATTGCACTCCACACACCTCACTGATATTCCATAAAAACTTTCTGGGAGGGGCCAACCTTGCCTGCTCTCCAGTTGGACAGAACAGTGGTGATTCCCAGGGAGGAGCAGGTGGGGTCCCTGCCCTCTCCACTACCCAGCCTTGAGTTCATTAGGGGCCTGTGTACACCTCCATGGTCTGCGGCCAGGCCAGCCACACCATCAGGAGAAAGTCATGGGTCAAGAGTTTGCCCAGTGCACTCATGGGCAGGCAGAGGATGTCAGGGACCCACACCACGTTGAGAGTCTCATTTTGGGGTCTGCGTCTCCTATGTTGATGCCAACGTCAGTATCTGTGTCCTCTATGCAGGAGTGATGCTCTGCATAGTCCCTGTGGGATGGTAGGGCTGGCAGAAGAGCAGTTGCCCACCCCCTGACTTTGCAGGGTCCCTGCCCCCATGCTGACCCCACATGTGCTTTGTGGGGGGAATGCAGTGTGACAGCCAGGGCCAAGGTGTCTCAGGCCTGCCAGTCAGGATCCGGCATTTTGGGTCAGCACCCCCCAAGACCCCCTCCTCCATGACTTCTTCATGGTTGGGGTATTCTGGGAGGCCTTGGGGCCAGGACTCCACTTGGAGAGCAGGGCCTATGGCCAAGAACTTCAGTTCCAGGGCTCAGGTCCCCTTGGGGCTGGAGCGAGGCACCCTATTGATTTATTCAGGAACAGAAGCGCCTGCTGGAGCGAGGTATCACCGGCCCCGAGGGCCACGTGCTCAGCCACCCCGAGGAGGTGAGTCTGTGCCTGCTGAGAGTGGCCGGCATCTGTGCCCCAGAGTGTGCTTCACCCCAACTGCCTGCACCACCTGCGTGGACATCAGCTCAGCCCTGGGCCCCTGCCAGGCACATGCCACCCCCTTCCATGACCACTTGTCATCTCACAGCCTTAACCCCATCCCTAGAAGTCAGTGGGGTCAGACCCTGGGGAGTGCACAGGGCAGCCTTGATGCCAGACAAGTGAGCCTCAGGCTGGGCCCTTTCCCCATCAAGGGTGCCTCTGGGGCCCCAAATCTTATGGGCGATCGGCAGGAGTCCAGAGCCCATACTGGCCAGGAAGGCCCAGGGACCTCTTGTGGCCTGAGTGCCCACTCCCTTGCCCAACCCCAGGTGGAGGCCGAGGCTGTGTACCGAGCTGTCACCATCGCCAAGCAGGCCAACTGCCCACTGTATGTCACCAAGGTGATGAGCAGGGGTGCGGCCGATGTGGTCGCCCAAGCCAAGCGCAGGGGTGAGTGTGGGCCTGGCTTCCCTGCATGCTGGAGCAGAGCATGCCTGCTGGCCAACCCCAGGACCCTCAGGTGGGGAGGAGGGCAGGCCCGACAGAAGGAAGCGTGGCCTGGCCCTCCTCTTGATGGGACACCTCCTGCCTGGGTTACACCCATGGCACAGTCCAAAGGAGATGCAGGCACCCTGGCGCCCCACAAGGGTCAGAGTCTTGGCCAGAGTCCCCAGCCTTCTTGGAGCAGCAGCTGCCCATGCCAGGGGCAGAGCCAGCTGAGTGTGTGTGTCTGGGGGAGGCTCCTAGTGATGCCCCAGGAAAGCCCCACCGTGGGCATCTGCTGTGCGTCCAGGAGCCGAGGTGCACGCTGCAGGTTCAGTGGGTGCTACCCGCCATCTGAGGTCCCCACTGGGACCAGCTAGGGTCAGAGGAGCCAGGCTCCATGCAGGAGCTGGGTGTTCCCTGCCCACAGCATGCCCAGCCAACTGGTGGGCACATATGCTCTGCAGGCGGGATCCTGTAGCTGCCTTCAGCAGGGGCTGGACCAAGTGGTCCCCACCAAAGGCTGCTGAGCTCAGAGGTTCTGGAGAGGACACAGATGTGGGATAGGACTGAGGTGGTGGGAGAAGAGGAGTGTCTTTAGGAAGGACCTGGGGTCTGACATCCCATGTCCCACCTCTGCCATCCCGAGTCTCACGGAGAACTCATTTCTGGGACCTGCTCTGAGAGGGTGGGTGTGTGCTTGGACCTGTTTTCTGCACCAGGGGTTGACACAGAAACCCCTTCTGTTTACAAGGGAGAGGACCTGTGAGGCTGTTCCTGGCACAGGGTGAGGGGGGTCTGCAAGGGCTAGCCTGGACCTCACCCGCCCCAAGAAGCCACCGCTGCAGGGCTGGCTCTCTTCTGAGGCACCCCACCCTCCTCTGAGCCTGGCTTTTCTCCTCTGTTCACTGGTGGGGGCTGATCAGTTATGAGGCAGAGCCCGGGCCAGGGGCCCAGCTCTGGTCAGCCGCTGTACCAAAAGGCCAAGCTGGGCCGGCAATGAGCTGGACACGGAGCATGAAGCTCCTTTGGCTTCATGGCTAGCAGGAGTGCCTGGCCACCTGACCCCTGGCAGAGACCACGAGTATGGAGAAAGCCCATGTCAACCGCGGAGACTCCTGTTCCGAGGGCCCCCCAGGACTGCTCTCTGGCCTGTCCAGGGTGGAGGCCACAGAAGGGAAGACAAGCTGCCCCTGGCCAGGAAAGCTAGGGGAGGTTGGGGGTGTTGGCAGCAGCAGTGCGAGGGCCATGCTGTGCTCTTGCCCCTGGGGTACAGGCTGGCAGGTGGGCACCTGTCATGGGCCTTGCTTGCTGCAGGCTTGGTTGTGTTTGGGGAGCCCATCGCTGCCAGCCTGGGTGCTGACGGCACACACTACTGGAGCAAGAACTGGGCGAAGGCTGCGGCATTTGTCACCTCACCCCCTATCAACCCGGACCCCACCACTGCAGACCACCTCACCTCCCTGCTATCCAGGTGAGCAGCCCCTCCGCGGAAGCCCAGGAAGCCCGCAGGCTCCACCCCTGCCCATGCACCTTGCCTCTTCCACATGAGCCCTGGGCTCCTGCAGGGCAGCCGGGCAGTGGGAAGGAGCAGAGTCCCAGGCCAGCAGGGCTTCTCACCAGGACCTGCCCCTTGCGGCTCTGTCCACACCGCCACCCCCCCCCCCACCCTGAGACACCAGTTCAGACCCTGTGGATCCACTGCCTGGTGGGCTGGAGCCAACCCAGTCTTGCCAGCTCAGGGAAGCCTGATCCTGTCTCCTCTGACCCTGGCTTGCTCCCAGTGGGGACCTCCAGGTGACGGGCAGTGCCCACTGCACCTTCACCACTGCCCAGAAGGCTGTTGGCAAAGATAACTTCACGCTGATCCCCGAGGGCACCAACGGTGTGGAGGAGCGAATGTCTGTAGTCTGGGAAAAATGCGTGGTGAGTCCAGGCCTGGGGGTGTGGGCACTGGGAGGGGCAGTCAGCAGAACTGAGGGGCCCCCACAGCCAACAGTGTCATAGTAGAGGTTGGATCCCCAGTCCCAGTCCTGCATCCAGGGCCCCCACATGCTGTCCCACCTTGGGGTACAGTGCCCAGAGCTCCCTCCTGCTGATTCTGACATCCTGTTGACATGGGTCTTTTAATTAAAAATCGAAGAATTTTTAAAGAGTTCATTATTTACAGACAGGGTAGTGAGGATGGGCCCTGTCCTCTCTTGCCCTGCCCTCTCTTGCCCTGTGGGCCTCAGTCCTGGACTCTCCCTAGGTCAGAACACCCTCCTGGTCCTGACCGATTCGGACCCTCGGGGTGTCCTGGAGAGCAGACCCCACCCTGCCCCTCAGCTGGCTGTCTTGCTTCTCAGGCCTCCGGGAAGATGGATGAGAATGAATTTGTTGCTGTGACCAGTACAAATGCTGCCAAAATCTTCAATTTTTACCCAAGGAAGGGGCGAGTGGCTGTAGGCTCTGATGCTGACCTGGTGATCTGGAACCCCAGGGCCTCGAAGATCATCTCTGCCAAGAACCACAGCTCGGTAAGGAAGACTTCTCTGTCTAGGCCCGCGGGGTGGAGACCAGGGTCCCCGCCTGCAGCACGGCTCTCAGCGGCCTTGGCTGCCCAGGAACATGTGCCCAGCACCCCAGTCCAGTGCTCATCCTGCTCCTGCCTGAGAGGGCGGCTGGCCTGCCGTCCCCTGGTGCAGATGAGCAGGCTGAGCTGCTCCTGCTGCGTCTGCTCCCTTTGTCCTTTAAGGACCACGTGACTCGGGAACGCTCTGGAGGTTGGGGGCATTCTTCCAGGACATGGGCGGTGTCAGCCTCGCTGATGTCTCCCTGGGGTCTTGGCACCAGCCCAGGCAGGCCTCCTGTGATGCTGGCGGGCCTGGGAGTGCTCCTGGGGCCCAGGGCGCTAGACCGGGCATCTCTCTCCCCAGAACGTGGAGTACAACATTTTTGAAGGATTCGAGTGCCGAGGAGCCCCCTCAGTGGTCATAAGTCAGGGCAGAGTGGTGCTGGAGGACGGGAACCTGTTTGTCACTCCAGGGGCTGGCCGCTTCATTCCTCGGAAAACATTTCCAGACTTCGTCTATAAGAGAATAAAAGCTCGCAACAGGGTAAGGCCTGACCATTGGGGTCTTCTGTGCAGGGAGCAGGGAGCCTCCTGGCTGGCCTGACCCTGATAACCAGGGACCAGGAAAGCAGAGAGGGCCCATCACATGCCCAGGGCCTGTTGGCTGTACATGGTGTGGGGACCAGGGCCTGGTGTGGGGACATCCAGGCCTTCTGTGGCCTGGGACCCTTGCACCCGGCCAGCCACAGCTCACCACTTGATGGCAGGCAGCAGCACTTTATCACCCAAGTCATCCACTGGATACCAACTAAGGCAGTGTACCCTTCTCACCAAGAGTGAATTAGTGCTAAGATGTTGTCATGGACCCCTCCAGGATTTCTCCCCTGGCCACAGTGGGGCGGAGTTTTCACAGTAGTCTTGTGTGAGCCTAAAAGTCGTGGTACTTTCCCCGGCCTTCCCCCTTCCCATGGTCAATGGCCATGTTTGCCCATGATCATCCGTGTCTGAGGCGTGCTCTGCGGCCGCCATCAGTGCTTCCCACGTGCACACACCCACACACCACCACAGGCACCTGCAACACAGGCGCCACGCACAGGAGCCGCACCTCCACGTGTGCACACAGTACCGCGCTGGTTCACTCTACCCCAGCTCTGCTTGGGTTCAGCAGGAGGAGGTTCTGAACTCAGAGTAGGGAGGCCTGGGGGCTGGTTCCTATGCTGTCCCTGCTATAGCTTGCAGAGCCACTGCCGTCAGGACTGTCGGGCCCCACGCGGCTGCAGCCCATCTCACCCGGAGCACCGCCCCACTGTCAGAGTCTGAGCTGGAGAAGGTTCTAGGCCCAGAGCACACACATCGGAGGGGTGGGATGGGTCAGGATGGAGCCTGGCAGGAGCTGCACAGGACTCTGTGGAGAGTCCATTTGGAGAGAGGAAAGCAAGGACAGTGGGGGCCGCATTTGGTCCTCTGTCCTACTGTGGACCCAGAGCCTCTGTCTCAGGGCTTCTTTGGGGACAGGGGCCTCCTGGGCCACAGTGGGGCCTCATGCCAGCTCTGCAGTGGCCCTCTCTGAGCACACTCCTGCAGCTCAGGCCATGCTGCACGTGCACATGCGTGTGGGACCTGTGGGGTGTGTGAGGACACGTGGCTGTGAAGGCGTGCGCAGGTGTTGGGCACTGTGAGGAGGTAGTGGCACAGGCTCCTCCTGAGCTGGGTGGAGTCAGGGTGCAGAGCAGACCCCTTCAGTGGGGGTGCCTCCCCCAGAAGCTTGGCCATTCCAGCCCCTCATGCCCACCCCCCTTGACCCCTTAGCTGGCAGAGATCCACGGTGTGCCCCGGGGCCTCTACGATGGGCCAGTCCATGAAGTGATGGTGCCTGCCAAGACAGGAGGTGGCACCCAGGCCCGCGCATCCTGCCCAGGCAAGATCTCCGTGCCACCCGTGCGCAACCTGCACCAGTCGGGATTCAGCCTGTCTGGTGAGTGGAGCCTGAGGTGTGGGGCAAGTCCTGGGGGCAGGAGGTCCCTCTGGAGCTACCAGGCCTCAGACTGTGCCTGGAGGGTTTCAAGCCCACAGAAGGCTGCAGGGCCACCCACCCACACCTGTGCACCAGGGCAGCTGCTGCCCAGAGCCTCCTGGTGTGGGATGTGGGGCCAGCAGACACGTGCCCTGGGGAGGGCCCTTGTGATGGGCACAGGTCTGTGGACTTCAGCTGGGGAAGCCACTCCTGCCCAACCTCTGTCCCAGAACCAAGCACACTGGGTGGGGGCTCCACGGGAGGAGGTCCCCTCTGGGGACTCAAGTGTCCTGTGTTCCATCTCCCCCAGCCCAGCCAGCCCCAGGCTCACTGCTGGAGTGTAAGGAGTAGGCCTGTGTCCACGGCGCGCAGGCACTCGCTGGACTCCCTGGCAGGGCTCACCAGGGCTCTGGGCAGTGCCAACTGGACTTCTAGTGTGCTGTGAGCTGAGCTGCTTCCAGAAGCCTGGAGCCCCCAGCTCTCCCTGCAAACCAAAGCCAGACCCTCTCCTCCTCTTTCCCCACCCTTGGGTGGGGACCAAACTGCCCTGATGTCCTGTCTCATCCTCCTGCTTGGGGAGCTGATGGCAGTCCTGGGTCACTTCCTGGGTGTGTGAGATCAGGGGAGGTCCCTCAGAATCCAGCACTGCCTAGAAACTGAGGGCAGCCATCTCCCACCACCAGGGCCCTCAGGAGGGCAGGGCACGGTGGGCTTCCCCAGAGCCAGCCTTGGACTCCCACTGAGAGATCTCTGGGCCCTTGGCTGTGACCTCAAGGCCTCAGAAGGCGGCGCCTGCCTGGCCACGTGGTCTCAGGGAGAAAAGCAGACTGCGGTGGGGGGGGGCTCTGCCTGCCCACCCCTTGGACAGAGGAGACTCCTGCACTCCCTCCTTCTTACACGCCCACCCCGCCCTTTCTTCAGGGTCTCAGGCTGATGATCACATCGCCAGGCGCACAGCCCAGAAGATCATGGCACCCCCCGGTGGACGTTCCAACATCACCTCTCTCTCTTAGACCTCTCTTGCCCCTCAAGCCAGTGGGGCATTCCCACTGACGGGTGGTGTGGGGACCGTTGACCTCAGTTAGCTCTTTCCTTTGTAGAAGTTACTTTGAAAGGTGCTCAACCTTGCCTTCCCCTCCCCCTTAACAAAGCTCTCCTTTGGGGTCCCGGGTCCCACTGTGAGGAGCCCCTTCAAGAGGGCTGAATTTGGGGAGATCTCACTGCCAGGACGAGGAGCTAGATGAGGCAGTGACAGCTCAGGTGGCCCCTAGCCCACATGCCAGGTGACCCAGTGCCTGCCTGGCCCCCCCATGAGGCAGGGCCCCCACTAGGGTGCTGAAATCCCCAGGTGCTCATTGTGGAGTAGTGGCTGGGGCTGAGGAGCCCAGGCTCTGAGCTGGGAGTCTGGGCGGGCGGGTGTCTGCTGCTTCCTTCCCGTAGGAGTCACTGCCCTTCGAAGTCCCCAGCACTCCCACCTGCCCCGTGGCACTAGGTGCAGCCGTCCTTCCAGGGGACTGTCATGATGTTCGCCCAGCACAGGTAGGGGACAGGCACGGAGCCTTGGCCTCTAGAGCTGCTGTGACTTCAGGGATCCACCAGGAATTGAGCATGGGCAGCTCCCCCCCCAGTAGGGACTCACTGGTACACACCTCAAGGACCAAACCTGAGCTTCCCCAGTGGCCCTTCCAGGGAAGTTTTACGACCCTTTAGCTAAGATGCCCTCCTTTTACTACAAGACACATACTTCCATAGGGTCATTAGAGTAGCAGATTTGTAGAGTGAGGAAACCGTAGCCAGGAACCTGCATGCCACCACACTGGACGGCAGGTGGCCGTCTGAGCCTGATTCGTCGGGTGGATTAAAGACGTCTTCTGGGTTAGAAGCTCCTGTGTGTGGACAGCCTCCACTGCCCCCTGCACACCAGGCCCCACGAGTGGTTGACTGGGGACCTGGGAGCCTTCTGCTGCCCTTCCTGGGCTTCCTGCTGGCTGAGGCTGCACCCACACAGCCTCTGCCCCACTCCAGGACCGGGCAGGACGGTCTGCCTGGTGGGAGGGCTCTTCCTCACTGGCTGCAGGGATGTTGGCCCCAGGAAGACACCCATTCTGACTGGCCAGCTCCAAGCTGCCCCAGAAGGCTTGGGCACATGGAGCTGAGGCATAGCAGCCACAGGGCTCTGATGCAGAACCTTCTAGAAGTTAGCGCTGCTGTGTTAGCCCCCAGCCTCGGGCTCTTTCTCATTAACATGATGCCACTGTGTAGTCCAGGTGGGACATTCCCACCCAGGAGCAGTGCCTCCCACTGCCCACTCTCTTCCCCTGAGGCATCTGTTCTCAGTGTTGACCAAGGGCATGTCCCTGGGGACCATCAGCACACGTCTGAGTGAGGGTCCACCCGAAGTTGTGCTGGTCCCCACAGGTCCCTGGAGAGGCCCCTCCTGTGCTCAGCCATCTGTCCTGGGCTTCCTGTGGCCCAGACACATTTGATTGGTGCGGCCTCAAAGCCAGAGTCCCCAGCTCCGCCCAGGTTGATGTCCACCATGCCTGTGTGCCCACAGTCCCAGTGAGGAGTGGGGCACTGGACACCCGTCCTTTCTTGGGTTTACGCGTGGATACAAAACCTCAGAATCTTCCCTCATTTGCACATCTGACACCCCTGGATTTCCATCCAGAGCGTGGCCTCCTCTGGGCCCACCCTGGGGCCTGGCCACCTGGCTGGGCTGCATTTCCTTTTCTGGTCGCAACTTGGGCACTGTGTCCCTTCTGGTGTGCACACCGTGTGGAGTCTGTGGCCTTGACCTTGCTGAGGGCCCTGCTGTCAGTTCCCATGGGTCTCAGGCCAGGAGTGGCAGGGCCCAAAGCTGCTGCTCTGCTCCTGGCACAGCCAGTTTGTCCTCCACCCCAGCCGGGCAGGGGACAGCGTGTGCTGGGGCAGAGGTGGCTCTGCAGGCGCAGACTCAGACACTCGCCACAGTGCCCGGTGCGGCTGCTGTCCTGGGAGGGCCACAGGTAATGCACCCCTCCCCCCAAGTAAGCCCATGCAGCGGATGGAGCTCTGGATGAACGGAGCTGGGCCCCACCTCCTCCAGTACAGGAGAGGCTGGTGCAGCTGCTCACACAGTCCTGGTCTGACTCCAGAACACTGGCGACCATGACAGGCAGCCGTCCTGTCCTGGAGACCCATGGTCCAGCCCTGATGCCCAGCCCTCCAGGGCCACACTTGCTGCCCAAGACTCTCCAGCCGCATGTGTGCCCACCTCACCCTGACCTGGCGGTGTCCATCACCAGCCCTGGGGCCCCAGGATGTGTGCATGCCACGGTCCTGAGGCCGGGGGAGGCTGTGCCCCAGCAGGAGCCGGTCCGTACACGCCCCCACCCCAGCTGCCCCAGTCCATAGCCTTCTCCACGTGACTGCAGGCATTGGTCCCCTTGGGGTTCGGACACAGAACACTGGACAGAGAAGTTCTTACGCTGTAATTCTCAGAGGTGAAAACTATACAGAAACAGCAGAAATTGCCAGAACAGTGTGTATCTAGAAAACATTCTGGCCTTCCCTTCTCCTCCCACTCCCTCCCCCGAGGCCCTGCCTTGGTATACAAGAAGGAGCGAACGCGGCCCCTCCCATAGCCTGGGCAGCAGGGCCTGGAAAGGAGACTGTACAGCTGGGTCCACTAGGGGCTGGAGAGCTGGGGACTCCAGCCGTGTTGGCACCACCCTGGCCTCTCGACCTGCCGTCCAGCAGAGGGGCTGAGCAGGCAGTTCACGTGCCTTCCACCCTGCGGTAACTGGGGCCCCGGTGGCACCAGCCCTCCTTGTCCAACTGCCACCTTTGACGGGCACCCACATGGCAGTGCTGAGGGCAGGCCTGGCCGTCAGCCCACTGCCCCCTCCCTGGTGGGCCAAGTCTCCAAAGCAGCCTGAAGGTTGAAGACCCCGGTTCTCTGCCCAGGCGGCTTAGCTGCTCCCGCCCGAGGGGCAGATGGAGCGGCAGGCCGGCAGGGCCACGGGCTCCTCCTCGCTGTCTGCCGTGGCCTCCGCTGTAGCTGCAGTCTCCGGGGCCGGGAGAGGCTCGTTGGTGAGTTCCTGGCTCCTCTTCAGCCTGGAGAGGGGACACAGGGATGTGCTCCTCAGGACATGGTGTGGGTACCCCCAGGGCCAGTGCTGGGCATCTCCCGACCAGGCGGGCTGGGCACAGCAGGGAGCCTGGGGGCGGCTCTGCCTGACTGCGTGACGCTCAGAAACTGAAGGGAGCCTGGCTTAGTGCCCAGTCTAGGGTCAGCGACTTTGGAACAGCCCATTCTTCACCCTGTTCTCTGTCCTCAGCCAGCCTCACACTGTCCCCCACGTCCTGCTGTCCTGGTGCAGAGCCACCTCCTGCAGGAAGCCCTCCCCGCCTCTCCAGAAGGGGGAACCTCTACTCCCCCTGGGTCTCCCTGCACCAGCCTCCCTTCCTCCACCGAGGCAGCTTGTCAGCTGTGTGGCCTGTCTTGCCCCATCAGCCACCTGGGCCCTTTCTGCCCCCTTCCTACCTGACAAGGCAGGTTTGCTGAGTGAAGGAGAGACTGAGTAGCAGGGCCTGGCGGCCAGCAGGAGGCCATCAGCCTGATCTGAGCAGTGGCTGAGTGTCTCCCCAACAGACCCTGGCTGCTGACCCCAAGGTGCCCAGGAACTCCGTCCCCACCAAGGAACCTGAACAGGGGCCTCCCACCTCTCCCGCCATGGGCACTGCCCAGCCTCCTCAATGGCGCGGGGCTGCTCGTCTCGGCCCCACTCACTTCTCTCTGTTGAAAATCACGAAGTCCTGCTGGATGGCATCGAGGCAGTCCTGCAGGAAGTCGTTCTCCTGTGGATGGAAGCCGCAGGGAGGGCGGTGGGTGCGGCATCCCCAGCACTCCCCAGCAGCTCTGGTGCCCGTGGCCCGGGCCCCTGGGGGACGCTTCGCGCTGCAGGGGGCGCTCACACTCCGCAGCAGCCTCACGCAGCCTGAGCCCAGACCGCGCCAGAGACTGCTGAGTCCTGAGAGTACCAGGGCCTCAGCAAAGGACGTCTTGCAGAGTCCAGCCAAGGCCCTGCAGGGAAGTTGTCCCTGAGCTTGGGAGAGATCACTGACCCTGACTCCCCTGTGAAGCCGAGCCTGCAGGTGGCCCCTCACCCTGGGGGAAGAGCAGACCCCTCCCTGCCCAGCCTTGCTCAGGGTCTGCTGCTGGCCCCTCCAGCAGCATGGCCAGCGGGGCAGTGCTGGGCCTGCTCAGGTCAGAGAGGTACTTGCTGAAGAGGCCTTGATAACATGTACCAGGAGGCCAGAAGAGCAGGCCTGGGAGCCGGCCGGGGGGCTGCGGGGGGCTGCAGGTGGGCAACAGCCAGCCTAGGGGCAGCTACTGATGAGGACTTTCTCCCACGGCTGGCAATCCATTTCCTGGCAAAAGCGCGGGGATCAGGTTTCCACCTGTGTGGGACAGCTCCTGGAAACCTGGAAGGAATCATGGCCTGCTCTGCCTGGTCCCTCCTGGTGGTTCCAGGTCACCCTTGAGAGAATGCTGAAGAGAAGGGTCGGAGGCTCAAGAGCAAAGATCCAGAAGACCACGACTCCACGTAGGGACCCAGGATGCGCCCTTCGGGGGGTGGTCAGGAATGAGCCGGGGAGGGGCACGGGACAGGAGATGCGGTCACACCTGTGGGGGAGGCCACGTGCCCCAGGAGCAGAAGGCAGGCAGCTGCCCTCAACCTGCAGAGCGAGGTGGGCAACTGCACCAACAGGCCACGGGTCGGGGTGGCGCCAGGATGGGCCACCTGGGCGAGGCCAGTCATCTGCCACCTTTCCAGATCCTACCCCACCTCTGACCTGAGCCATGACGGGGAGTGGCGGCCCTCGAGGAAGGCCCCTGTCACAGCGACGGCATGCCTTGGGCACCCCGCGCTTGCCCAGGAGCCATGTCTGCACCCAGGAGGCTGCGAGCTCGCAGGCCTGGTGGAAGAGGGTCCCAGCACATGCTCAGCTAGAGCCCCTGGCACGGGCCCAGCAGCCCAGAGACCCACCCGCGCTGTCTCCCAGGGGCTGAAGGCAGCCAAGGCGACCCCGCTGCAGGCAGCCCTGTCTCCCATCAGCCCCCTGCCCGTGACATAGCTGCCTTCACAGGAGGGAAGTGGGGCCATGATGGCGAAGGGTGACGTCTCGGCTACTGAGGTCGTTCTGGAGACCCAGGGTACAGCACGGTGACAAGTTAGCTGCACTGTGTGCTGAAGCCTGCTGACGGGG